TCTAGCAGAAGACAAGAAATAAACAAGATCAGAGCTAACTGAAGGATATTAAAACACAAAATACCATTCAAAAGATTAATGAGTACAACTGGGCACAGTGACTCACACCTGTCATCCCAGCACTTTGGGAGACCGAGGCAGGTGGATCACAAAAGTCAGGAGATCGAGACCATCCTGGCTAATATGGTGAAATCCTGTCTCTATAAAAATACAAAAAAATAGCCAGGCATGGTGGTGGGCACCTGTTATCCCAGCTACTTGGGAGGCTGAGGGAGGAGAATGGTGTGAACCTGGGAAGTAGAGCTTGCTGTGAGTCGAGATCACGCCAGTGCACGCCCGCGTGGGTGACAGAGTGAGACTCTGTCTCAAAAAAAAAAATAAAAATAAAAAAATAAAAAAAAATAAAAAAAAAAAGATTAATGAGTCCAAGAACTGGTTTTGTGAGAAAATTAATAAGGTAGACCACTAGCTAGACTAATAAAGAAGACAAGAGAGAAGATCCAAATAAGCAGTTAGAAATGAAAAAGTGGTATTATCACTCACCCCACAGAAATACAAATAATCATCAAAAACTACTATGAACATCTCTATGCACATGAACTAGAAAATCTAAAAGAAATGGATAACTTCCTGGACTGCTCATTGTCTTAGGCAAAGAAGACTAGCCATACTTTAGTTGAGGGCTCTTTGAGTGGAGTCCTATAAATTCTTGTATTTCTCTCAACTCTATGTCCCCCTCCCCAGAATACAAAGCCCCTTCTGTCATGCCTCCTTTGCTTCTTTTGGTTGTATCTGTGTTATATCTGAATATATGGATCTAGAGAATCCCAAGAAATAGAAAAAGCTAATCCAAAATCCAAGGTCTGAAGAAGACAGGTAAGACCTTTGGATGAATATCTTTTCACAAAGTTGAGAAGATGTGAAGAACCCAAGAATCCAGTGGAGAAACAGCCCCTAGTCACTGCAAGCAGTTCAGACCTCTGTTGGAGTATATCATCACAGCAGCAAAACTTCTATGTTCTTAATATCTGTGTGGTTTTTTTTGTTTGTTTTTGTTTTTTGTTTTCCTCAGAGACAGGATCTCACTCAGTCACCAAGCCTGCAGAGCAGGGGTGTCATTATTGCACATTGCAGCCTTGAAATCCTGGGCTCAAGTGATCCTCTTACTTCAGCCTTCTGGGTTACTGGGACTACAGATGCAAGCCACTGTGCCCAGCTTGCCTCTTTATTTTAATTTTAATTGGTCAATTTGTTTTTCAGACCTCTTGTTATCTTTAATCATTTTTCACCTCTGATTTGACCTCCCAGTTTTCAAATACTTGATTTAATGGGAGAATTTTCCCTAGCTTGTTGATCCCAGAAGTTCAACTTTATTCTAGGCTTGGCTCCTGTTTAGCATTGCTGCTTTGAGATTGTTCTGGTTCATGAAAAATAAGTCTCCGAAATTTTCTACTTCTCAATAGTGCCATTTACGAAATCCTTATAAGCAAATAAGAAAGAAGACTCTCAGAAATATATGGAGAGACTGAGGTTAGAGTTGAGCAAGGCCTGAAATTTTGTCACAACTAATCTAGTTGAAGGAATGTTGATTGACTGAGAAAACACTAAATTTCTGTCTATTTCAAAGAGAAAGACTTGATAATGGCTCTATGGATCTGTAAGATCAGTTTTAATAGAAAAACATTATTATTTTTTGTGTGATGGAGTCTCACACTGTCGCCTGGGCTGGAATGCAGTGTCACGATATCGGCTCACTGCAACCTCTGCCTCCCAGCATCAAGTGATTCTCCTACCTCAGCTTCCCAAGTTGCTGGGATTACATGCGCCCGCCACCACGCCAGGCTAATTTTTTATATTTTTAGTAGAAACGAGGTTTCACTATGTTGGCCAGGCTGATCTCGAACTCCTGACCTCGTGATCCACTGGTCTAGGCCTCCCAAAGTGCTGGGATTGCAGGAGTGAGCCATCACTCCCAGCCTAGAATAACTTCTTAAATTGCTTTTATTGTTGACTGAATTTATTTCTCTCTTGATAGCTTCTACTTTGGGTTGATAATTAAAAACCACTCTTATCTCTAAGATTATATGTATGTCTTCCCATATTATTATTCTAGATTTTCATGACTGGATTTTACTTTCGCACCTAATTGTGTAATCGATTGTGCTGTATATAGTTAAGCTTTTCACTTTACTCTTTCCAAAGAGTGTAGTTGTTTAATTACTATTTGTTTTTTATTTCCAAGTTAAATTTAAAAGCTATATTTTTATATATCAGATTATTATATTTTAGTGAGATTTAGTTTTTGGATTTCTATTTATTCCACTATCTGACTTACACATGAGTGATATTAATTTTATATGCTTTTAGAATAAAGAAAATGAAACCATTTTTAGATAAACCAAAAGTAACAAGGTATTTCCAGCAGAAAGAGATAATATTAAGGATACTCAGAAAAAAATAGAATAAACTTAGAGGGAAGATTAGAAATGAAGAAAAGCATGTAAAACGTTTTGTAAATAAGTGTAAACATTTCTTCACTATTTAATAATAATAAGAAGAAATCTTAGGAGTAAAACTATACAAAATATCTAAAAAATATATATATATATAATTATAGATTGGGAAGGGGAAAATGAAGATAAAGTGCTAAAATTTATTGTACTGTTTTGGAAAAGAGTAAATAGTCAAATGGATACGTGTGTCTGAAAAATCAAGAATGCAATTGTAATCATCGAGATGCAATTTTTTATTTTTTAGTTTTTTTATTCATGTGATATATATTTTGTCCCTTTTTATTATTCTTCAACTTTATTGAGGTATGATTCACAAATAAAAATTATATATATTTAAGGTGTACAACATGATGTTTTAATATATGTACACCTTGTGAAATGATTACCACAATCAAGTTAATTAACTTACCCATTATCTCACATAGTTACCTTTTTCTTGTGGTAAGCACTTTTAAGATCTACTCTCAATCAGGCCCAGTAGCTCATGTCTGTAATCCCAGCACTTTGGGTGGCCAAGGCAGGCAGACCAGCCTGATCGACATGGAGAAACCCCATCTCTACTAAAAATACAAAATTAGCTGGGTTTGGTGTCGCATGCCTGTAATCCCAGCTACTCGGGAGGCTGAGGCAGGAGATTTGCTTGAACCCAGGAGGCGGAGGTTGCAGTGAGCCAAGATCTTGCCATTGCACTCCAGCCTGGACAACAAGAGCAAAACTCCATCTCAAAAAAAAAAAAAAAAAAAGAAAATCTACTCTCTTTGCAAATTTTAAATATACACACAGTACAAGTAACTACAATCATGATGCTGTACGTTAGATATTTAGAATTTATTCATCCCACATAACTGAAATTTTATACCCCTTGAATAATAGTTTCCTGATTCTCCCACTCCCAACCCCTGGAAACTATACCTCTACTCTCTGTTTCCATGAGTTTCGCTTTTTTAGATTTCACATATGAGCAAGATTGTGCAGTATTTGTCTTTTTGTCTTATTTTCCTTAGTGTTACATCCTCCAGGTCTATCAATTCTGCCATAAATGGCAGGATTTCTTTCTTTTTAATTTTTTTCTTTTCCCATTTTTAATTTTTTGTTTGCTATGGAATCATACGAGTTTTTTATATGTTTTGAATATTAACCCAAATATATAATAAATATTTGATTTGCAAATATGCCATTTCATGGGTCACCTTTCATTTGTTGATTGTTTTCTTTTTTGTGTGGAAATTTTTTTAGTTTGATGTAGCCTCACTTCTTTATTTTTCCTTTTGTTGCCTTTGCTTCTCATATCAAATTCAAAAATGACTGCAACATGAACATTAGAACTTTCTTCTTATGACTTCTTTAAAATTTTTTATGGTTTTAGGTCTTAGTTGAAATCTTTAACCCATTTTGAAATTTTTTTTTATGGTGTAAGACAAGGTCTGATTTCATTTCATTTTGAGGGTTTCACCCTCTCATATCATAAAATTCTTCTATATACCCTTCTATCATCACGTATTACTGATTATACACCTTGATTTCAGAATCTTGCCAACTAGATTCAGAATTCGACTAGGAGAGAGGACAAGGACCACCTGAGACTCATATTTTATTTCCAGAATTTAGCATCTACCTACCTAGGTATTGAATAAGAAAATAAAGTTAAGGTTGTTGATGGTAACACTATGCTAGTAACTGCAGAGCCAGAAGCACCATAAGGGGCACGATAAGGGAGCAAGCAGACCTCTAATCACTTACCGATCTTAAACATCCTGAGGAAGAATGGGACTTCCATTTGGCGTGGGCCTATGACAGGGTAATAAGGCAACAGTGAATACCAAGCTACAAAAAGCCCCCTTTCACTTTCTTCTCAGTCCTACATTTTCACTCTAAGCCCAGTCCTTCCAAAGCAGACTGTGAAAGAGTGAAAGTTCCAGGAGACTAGCACTGCAGATTCCGGAGCACTGTTAGTGGGGGAGGCAGGGAAGAAGGGCTCACAGGACAGTCAAACCATGGCCCCCTGTTTTTCCTTCTTCAAGTAGACCTCTATAACACAACAGAGACAACTAAGGCTAAGTGGCCAGGCGAGGAGAAACCATCTGGCCATAAAACATGGAAGGAACACTTTAGGAGAAAAGTAGTATCTCTAAGCAAGAGAACTAAGTGGAATCAAGGTTGAGAGGTGCAGGATAAGCAAATGAATAGTGAAAAGACATTCATGAAGACAGCTAAAACAATAAGTAATGTAAAATATAACATAGCAAAACTTTAACCTCCAAGTCAAACCTCCACTTGAATCCTTTTCTGAGGGGTGAATAAGGCATAGGCATCAGGGGCTGTTGCCAACGTGCATTAGTTGCAGCATCACCTTCTTTCATGGAGTTGATGATATAGTGTATTTTCCCAAGGTTTGAACTAGCTCTTCATTTCTTTATGTTTTAAATGCACTGACCTCCCACATGTACTTTTAGGTAAAATATTTAGAAATAATTTAAATACACCATTGCAATGAAAATAAATGTTTTTTATTAGGCAGAATCCAGATCCTCAAGGCCCTTCATAATATCCCCCAGTTCAGTAGTTGGACTTTGGGAACAAAGGAACCTTTGGTAGAAATTGGACAGCAAGAAAGTGAACTTAGTGGTACTTGTGGGCCAGGGCATTAGCCACACCAGCCACCACTTTCTGATAGGCAGCCTGCACTTGCGGGGTGAATTCTTTGCCAAAGTGATGGGCCAGCACACACACCAGCACGTTGCCCAGGAGCTGTGGGAGGGAGACAAGAGATATGAACATGATTAGCAAAAGGGCCTAGCTTGGACTCAGAATAATCCAGCCTTATCTCAACCATAAAATAAAAGCAAAATGATCACTGGATTATAGCTGCTATTAGCAATATGAAACCTCTTACATCAGTTACAATTTATATGCAGAAATATTCTACTTAAATGCAGAAACATTGCTATTGCCTTAACCCAGAAATTATCACTGTTATTCTTTAGAAAGGTGCAAAGAAGCATGATACATTGTATGGTTATTGCCTTGAAAGAAAGAGATTAGGGGAAGTATTAGAAATAAAATAAACAAAAAAGTATATTAAAACAAGAAACATTTTTAAAAATTACAAAAGCAAAATTACCCTGATTTGGTCAATATGCAATGTGTATACATATTAAAACGTTATGCTTTAACCAATAAATATGTATAATGATTATGTATTAATTAAAAAGAAAGAAAATAAAGTAGGTAGATTATGAATATGCAAATAACCACACATATATTCCAAATAGTAGTGTACTAGGCAAACCGTGTGAGCTTTTTTTTTTAAGTTACTTAATGTATCTCAAAGATATTTCCTTTTGTTATACACAGCATTAAGACATTAAGTATAATAATAAAAATTGCGGAGAAGAAAAAAAAGAAAGCAGGGATTAAACACAAAAGAAAACAATTGTTATAAACAGCAAATAAAAGACACTAAATGATCCTGAGAGTTCCACACTGATTCAATCATTTGTCTCTTCCCCATTCTAAACTGTACCCTGATACTTATCCTCTTCCTATGACATGAAGTTAATCATAGAAAAGAAGGGGAAAGAAAACATCAAGGGTCCCATAGACTCACCTTGAAGTTCTCAGGATCCACATGCAGCTTGTCACAGTGCAGCTCACTCAGCTGGGCAAAGGTGCCCTTGAGGTTGTCCAGGTGAGCCAGGCCATCACTAAAGGCACCAAGCACTTTCTTGCCATGAGCCTTCACCTTAGGGTTGCCCATAACAGCATCAGGAGAGGACAGATCCCCAAAGGACTCAAAGAACCTCTGGGTCCAAGGGTAGACCACCAGCAGCCTAAGGGTGGGAAAATAGCCCAATAGGCAGAGAGAGTCAGTGCCTATCAGAAACCCAAGAGTCTTCTCTGTCTCCACATGCCCAGCTTCTATTTGCCTCCTTAAGCATGTCTTGTAACCTTGATACCAACCTGCCCAGGGCCTCACCACCAACTTCATCCACGTTCACCTTGCCCCACAGGGTGGTAACGGCAGTCTTCTCCTCAGGAGTCAGATGCACCATGGTGTCTGAGGTTGCTAGTGAACACAGTTGTGTCAGAAGCAAGTGTAAGCAATAGATGGCTCTGCCCTGACTTTTATGCCCAGCCCTGGCTCCTGCCCTCCCTGCTCCTGGGAGTAGATTGGCCAACTGTAGGGTGTGGCTCCACAGGGTGAGGTCTAAGTGATGACAGCCATACCTGTCCTTGGCTCTTCTGGCACTGGCTTAGGAGTTGGACTTCAAACCCTCAGCCCTTCTTCTAAGACATATCTCTTGGCCCCATACCATCAGTACAAATTGCTACTAAAAACATCCTCCTTTGTAAGTGTATTTACCTAATATTTGGAATCACAGCTTGGTAAGCATATTGAAGATCACTTTCCCAATTTTCTTATTACACAAATAAGAAATTGATGCACTAAAAGTGGAAGAATTTTGCCTACCATAATTCAGCTTAGGGATATATAGATTGATCTCTTCCTGTGTCTCCAGAATACGCAAAATACTTACAGGACAGAGTGGATGAAAACTCTATCTCAGTTCTAAGCATATCTTCTCCTGATTTGGATTAAAACCTTCTGGTAAGAAAATAAAATATATATATATATGTGCATTCATTCATTTGTTGTTGTTTTGTTTTTCTTAATTTGCTCATGTATGCTAATAAATTATGTCTAAAAATAGAATAAATACAAATCAATGTGTTCTGTGCAATAATTACTTATTAGGTTTTGGAAAATGAGAGATAAAAAATTAGAGACCCCTTAATGCAGTAAAAAATACAAATAAAGAGAAAGTCACTTATAACCCAAAGTGTGACTAACAATGGGGTAATCAGCGGTGTCAAATAGGAGGTTAACTGGGGACATCTGACTGTTTCTGCTTGGACTAATCTGCAAAAGTGTCTCAGGGAACAAAGAAACTTCTGTGACTTAAAAAGTACTGGTAGGAAGGGAAAAGGTCTTCCAGACTTGGCTCAGCTTATTTCTTCCTCTAGTCCACTAAGAACACTGAGTTTTAAAATCATTTCCTTGATTCAAGTTCCTATTTCTCTTTATGTTTTATTTGTTTAAACCTCCTTTACTAAAATTTACTCTTCTATCTCTATAGCTTTCCAACATGATGTCCTTTCTCCCATCCCCCTGCACCTTTTTCCACTTGTACTAAATTAACTCCTCAGGTGAGGAAAAACTTTTGAAGTGCAGAGTTCTGCTTCCTGCTGTTAAAAGATGTAAAGAAAACAGCAAAGGTAGCAAGCATTTCTGAGGTCAGCGTGGAGTCTCCTTGTTCCCTGAGGGCTCTTTTAGTCATTCTGAATCCTGCCCCTACCTGGAAGCCCATGTCCTTTTAGTAAGGGAAGTGTTATACTTTTACTTTCCATGTGTCTCCTACTTCTTCCTTTCAGCTTTAACACTCTGAAACTACAATTACACAAAATAAAATAAAATAAGATAATATAAAATAAATAAAATAAAATAAAATTTAGGTTAACCAAAAGAAACTCGATCCTCTATTTCTAGTTATTGGAAGGAAATTTACAAATTTCTTATTTCCATGGCTTGATTCTCTTAAATACTTTCTCCATTATTGCTAAATAGAGATCTCTCACTTTTTCTACCTGTCTCAACCCTCATCAGGTACTTGTGAAGAAATCTCTCTCTGATTATTCTCACACATGCAGAAAGCGCTTGGTTCTTCTATGGCTATCTGGAGCCTAAATTAAAAAATTATGCCTATATATGATTATAGAGGTAAGAGAGATAAAGTTCAAGTATTTTCTTTTTATATTCATTCCTCTGTAAAAAACTAAAGCAATGAGGATCTAGCAACGTGTATCCCTGAGAAAAGATTTCACATGTTGAATCCTGGGAAAAGAGGTCTTTAAAATATTTTAAACGTTAAAATATATAGATTTGACTTGACTCTTAGATTTTGGATTTTATCTTATTAAATTTAAACCTGCATTAGCATTAGCATTGTTTTAGATTCAGACTGTTTTCAAGACTCTACTTCACATCCCTGACATAAGAGGCGTGTATATGTGAAATAAACTGTTCTGTGGAAGTTGGAATATGTATTTTGCAAATATCCCAGGTCAAAGAAAATCCACAGACCTTATGAAATTATAATATAGATTATATTTATATTATTCTGAAAGACCTAACTTGTCAAAGCAACAACTTTGAAATCCTGATTGGCAGAAATTATCACCTTCTTAAAGACTTACCCTACAACTTCTTATGCTCAGAAATAGTTTTCCTAAGTTTTTCTATTTTGTTTTCTTGCTTAAATGATGAACTATGGATCCTTCTCTTGTGTTGGCAACTGCTGCAGATACCATTATCCTGGCTTCAAGGCAAGGGTTGCTTTTCCAATGGTAGTTACTTAGTGTGACTACAGTGTGATGCAGACTTTTCTTTCTATGACCCATAATCCTGCAGGGACAAGGCTGCAAGCTATACTAAGACCATCAAAAGCCCAGGCATACCAGACAAAAATAAGTTTCAAGAAGTGATAAATAGTGCAAATCTGGTTATGGTCAGAGCCTCAGTTTCAAATCTAAATCAGCATTCAAAGTTCCTGAAAAACTACTCAAGCTCACTGACATCTTCACAATTGTGAGCTTGCTTCTACTCTGTGAATGGATGCCACAGCAGGTGCAGGTCTATTCTACTTTTATTCCAGCCCCACTGACCACTATGCGCGCGCGCGCGCACACACACACACACACACACACACACAAGTCCTCAAAAAAGAGACAGCGATAAGACAGTGGTTCATTTCCTTTACTCCAGTCTATTAATCTTTCTTAAGTCCTAATATTTTATACCAGAACGCACCTAGTCTGAGTATACTTAGAGGATGGATATTAACTTCCTCCATGAAAATCATGACACTCATCTATGGGAGTGTGGTTTTGTCATTTGTTTCAAAAGCAGCACTCCACTAGAGTATTTTTATATATACTCTGCTGTTTAACCTAAAATATCCCAAGTGAAACATTTTAGCAATCTACTGTATATGTTCCTAGGTCAAGCACAGTCTAGCTACTTGCTGCAGACTTCTCTCCCAGATACACAGTCTCTCAGTAAACCCAATTCAGCATCTTCTCAGAATTAATTAATTAAAATGAAATAAAAATGCCCCAAGAAAACTAGAACCCGTAGAAACAAATTGCATACACACAAAATAGTCTGGAAATAGGATAGTTTAGTCCTCTTTAAAAAGTTGTATTTCTTACCAAAAAGCAATAAAGTCGACATAGACACAACTTTGCTAAAGTATATATATAATTATTATAGAGAAATGTATATTTCAGTCTACACCTTGTTCATCAATATTTCCTCCACTGGGTTCAGATTTTCATTCAGAATTAGCTTTTTTTAAAACCTCATTAAGTGAGCCATGGTGTGTCAATTTATGGAGAGCAGAGGTACAGTCTTCAGTTAAATTTGAGACTGCATCTCTTTAGAGGTAGAATCTTGGCTTCAGTCTGAACACCCTTTACAAACATGTAGGCATTAATTTAGAAGACTGCTCTGAAGCTCAAGAGATGGATGATTAAAGAGATTATTATGCTAAATTATCCTGACATTAAATTATTTTATTTAAAAATGTTTGTGAACTCAAATTCACATTATTGTGTCCTCTCCTCCGTTCTTCCCTCCCTCTCTTTCTCTCTCTCTCACACACACACACAGACACACACACACACACACACACGCACCCTTTCATTCAGACATATTAAGGATGGTTTATAAAGCAATGCCATGGTGAGAAAAGGAAAACAACTTTTTGATAAATTATCAAATAAAATTAAAGCCAAATCTTGAGGAATTAATTCCACTCCTATACTTTGTTTTCACTTTTATTTTAAATTTGGGGGTACATGTACAACTTATATAGGTAAATTGCATGTCACTGGGTTTTGATGTACAGATTATTTCATCACTCAGCTAATAAACTTAGTACCCAATAGGTACTTTTTTCATCCTCTCCCTCTTCCCACCCTCAACCCTCAAGTAGACCTGCATGTCTGTTGATCTCTTCTTTGTGTCCATGTGTATCATCATTTAGCTCCCACACTCCTAGACTCTTACAAAAGCTCTACTCTAACAAATAATTTTAATATAACAACAAGGTGCCAAGTCGTTTTTCATCTCTTGACCTCCTTATCCTCAATATGAAGATAGCAATGACTGGCCTATAGTAATTGTATGTGCTCGGCGATGTCCCATCCAGGTGATGTTCTCATGAATTCTCCGGTATTGGGATTTCTAAGGCCAACGTCTTGCCTAGATTTACTAATGGTGTAGGAATAGAAGAAGGTATAGTAAGCTGTATTTGCTCTTGTTTTGACTTTTGGGGAAAGGAAAGTAGTTTGTTTTTCCCTATCAAGATCATAAGGTCTACAGTCTCTCTTACTGTCTTTCGAATAACACACAAGTATCTCCTTTTAATTCTTACTCTTATGAGAACTTCCCTATGCTCAGGAATGTGAAAGTGATCTTCCCCAAAATGCCCTGAGTAGCTCTGCTTCTGATATGTAAACCAGTGGTTCCTAAATATCCTCTTCAGATATAAAGAGTCCTCAGTGCCTACTATGTATAATGACTTAAGGAAAACACATGGATATAAAAGAGCTTCTGCTGCCAGTCAATTCAAAATATTGTGATCAAAACAGTTAGCTATAATGCATTGTCAATATATTCTGGCAGTACAGAGTTACTATGAAAGCACTTTTAAACACAAGGAAACAACAGATTCTATTTAGGTATTCAAGTAAGTTTAAAATTAATCAACAGGTATATAATACAGATTTATAAAAATGTATACGAGTGAGAAAGTTCTAAAAGTCCTCCTAATTTTACCTATGGCAAAAATGGTACTCAAAGAAAAAAAATTACTACCTATGATCAGAAAGGAAATGACTGTTTTGTTGTTTACTGCATGCTTCTTCTTTGTTTGTTGTAGCATTAACGACAAAGAAACACTGTGCAATGGTATGATTCATATTGTCCTCTAGTTCCAGAAGTTCTAAAGCAAGGAATAATCATTTCTTCA